TTGGGTTTGGATACACCTTCGAAAGGAAAGGTTTCCTAATCGACCTAATGTCAAACTCTCCCCTAGAGCAGATGGTCCTTTTCAGATAGTGGAGAAAATCAATGATAATGCCTACAAGATCAAACTTCCAAGTGACTATGAAGTCTTTGCTACTTTCAATGTAGCTGACTTATCTCCTTACTATGAGGATCATGAGCATTGAACTCAAACTTGAGGACGAGTTTTCTCCAACCAGGGGAGAATGCACCAGGAAAAAAACAACAAGCATGCAGAACCTACTCTGCAGCACCACTAGGCCGGTGCAATTTTGTCAAAGTGGCCACTAAATGGCTAACTCCCAACTGCATTTTTACTTTTACTAAATGGCTAACTCCCAACTGCATTTTCACTTTTCATTTATTGCCTTATATTAGATTTTGCCTTTAAATAGCTATGTTCCCTTCATTGTAGGCAGAAGTTTTAATCCAAATTTTCAGTTTATAATTCTCCTCTGTTGAGTGAGTTTTTTTGGGAGTAGATTATCTCAATTTATCTCTATCTTAGGTCTTGCCAACCTAAGTGGTGAAGCTGGCAATCGAATTCATCGTAGTGGAATTCTCAATCTCGTCAAAATCGATGTTTTGGTATCGGCTCCTAAGCCATTAAAGTTTATTTTTGAAGATGACAATTTTTTCTAAATATCTTCAAAATTTTACATTTATACTTAATTGTCATTTTTTGCCATACTAAATATTTAAACTCTCGAAATCCTAAGCTAAGCTCAATAGTTTTGAAGTATCATAAAAATTTGAGTCGGGTCATAGAGATGATGCTTCGGGTCTGCCCACATGTGCCGGGGCATGACCCAAAAAACAAAAGTCCAAAATTGTAAAAACACCTTCGGTGCTGGGTTGCCACCTCCGTCCTCTTCCCTCTTCTTCACTGCGTTTCCATCTTCTCTTCAGACTTCAGGTAGGTATTTCCGTTGATTCACCGATCTCCGTTCGTCGTATCCTTCGCTAGCATAGAGCTCATGATTTCTTCTTCTTTATGAGTTCCATGGTTCTTCCAAAGACTTTTCTTCAGCTCAATTCTCTCCCGATTCTTTTTTTTTTCCATTGCTTTCCCAAGAAAACAAGGGACTGATGAATTGAATTTTTTAATTAATTAATTTGGATTTTTCTTTTTCAATTGATTCAAGAAAGTTTGATTCGCAGGGGGGAGAAGAGGCGATTCCTGGAAAATGTCGAAGTCACAAAGCGATACCATACCGCTGCATGCGTCGTCTCAATCGGATATTGACGAGATCGAGAACCTAATCAACGCCATCGTGCCATCAGGCCCGGCAACCGTCCTCCCAGCCCGGCCTCCGAGCCCTCCTAGGGCCTCCATTCCGGTCTCCTCCACCCCTTTCGTCCAGTCCAACATCCCTCCACCCTCTTTCATCTCATCCAATCAGAAGGTACCGTCTGTCTCCGCCGCCCCTCCTCCTCCTCCTTCTCTTAACAACTCTAGCCGGCCGAATATCGGGGCCAGTGGATTCGGGCCCCCGCCCAATACTCTCACGGAGCCTGTGTGGGACACTGTGAAAAGAGACCTGTCGAGGATTGTCAGCAATTTGAAGCTCGTAGTGTTCCCCAACCCGTACAGAGAGGATCCTGGAAAGGCGTTGAGGGATTGGGATCTTTGGGGTCCATTTTTCTTCATTG